CGGTAGTGACTGGCGCCGCCAAATCTGGCAATCTTCAACTGTTGCACGATGCTTTCTGGGTTGAACTTTTCAGGTGCCTGCGGTGCATGTGCAGCGCGGCGCGTACGTTTATGGCAAGCTTCTCGGTCTGCGCCTGCATGGGCAATAGAGATGGGCGAACCAAGTCAGGGTTTTCTGCAACCAAAACAAGGAACGCCGGAAAGGAGAGCAAAACGTAGTGTGTTGCATCTCGCATACTAGTACTTTATTCCTGCCTTGCCATGACCCTTGCCTTGCCTTTGCAGAAAGGAGGTGTTCGGGGACTTTTCCCTGTAGTCTGGACGAAACACAACTTCATCTAGGTTCAAAACACTCTAAACACCAATGACTCTCTGTTGTCCTGCCCCACCGAGGTTGGCGTTGCAGTGCAAGCAGCGCACCACCCATGTCTACGGACCCGGCATCCTGGACGGGCGCCATTTCCGATACAACGAGCGCAAAGGATGCGGTTTCAACAATTGCGTGTTGTTGTAACATTGTTGTACCCACGATAAACCAACAAGCACATTGATGTATTTAATGTCGTGCAGCAGGCATGAAGTTGAGTGAGCAATGGTGCCAGGAAAGCTCTGGAACGAAACGCGGATGATGCTGAATTTCGCCGGTTCAGCCGGCGGCGACGTCTGGGGTCTGACAGTCGCTTGGCCTTCCAATTGTTTGAGAGCAGTGTTCCAACGGAAGAAACAAGCCCATCCTTGATGTTTGATCTGGGTACCGCGGGTTTCAAGAGAGTAACGAGCGAAGCGGGGCATTTGTTTCTCGGAAAGCTTCTCCCGGCGATAATTCTCCGACTCCTTCAAGGCTTCCTGGTCTCCGTGTTCGGGCTTCAATGATGCATGAGATGATCAACTGAGGTTGTAAATCCAAACTTTCGCTTGTTCGACAAAGTCGTCAGTGGCAGCAGGATGACGATGTTTCGCGGGATGGGCTGGGCAGCCAACAATGGCGGCGGTCATTTCGAGTTTAACACATCAGCACGAGATTCGTTCATCCGAAGCACAGATGACCTGATCAAGGTCAGAGGTGGAAACATTGTCACAGAAAACTTGGTGCTCTGGCAATCCTACAACGGCGGAACTTTCCAGTTTGGCTGGGCGGGACTCCATCTTGTCAACATTACGCACCGGACTGCGAGCGTCATTGAAAACGAGTGGCGAGCACCGGAAGTGTGGGAGACCTACGACACGCGGCCAAACAATGCAGTGGTGAGCTTGGTAGATACCAATCCTGCAGACCCAGCGCAGCTGGCAGGCCCATTCGTGTGGCAAGACTTACAGATTGATGGAGACGTTTCGCATCCACTAAGCCTTCACCTGGAGAACGGATTCTTAGGCAACATGCTGTTCGACGGCCTGACGATCTCTGGGAAAGTAACCCGATTTGCCTTTGCAACTGCTGTGGAGGGTAGTGCGACGATCGCCAATGTCACCTTCCGCAACTTCACCATCGAAGGTCGGAGCTGTCTATTCACGGCCTGAAAATTACCCGTTCCATCAAGTAGGAATCAATATCATTAGGGTAATACATCCCTTGCCTAGTTCCTCCCCGACTTTTCGGACGAACGCGCTCTGACCTCTAGGAAAGCTGATCTCGCACTTAGACGACCCGGCCTTCCGCTTTCATCATGCTGGAGGCTGGGCCCCAAAGCTTGCCCCTGAACTGGAAGCACCCTAAACAGAAGCATGAAGACGCATACTAATGAAAATAGCACAGACAACACTAAGAACAGCAAGCTACTACTACTACTGCTGCTGCTGCTGCTGCTGCTGCTGCTGCTACTGCTACTGCTACTGCTGCTGCTGCGGCTACTACCACTACTACTACCACTACTACTACTACTACTACTACTACCACTACTACTACTACTACTACTACCACTACTACTCCCACTACTACTACCACTACTGCCAATGCCACGCCACTAACACACAATTACCACTACAACTGACACTACTACTGCCACTTCCGCTACCACTACTGCTCCTGCTACCACTACCACTACCGCTGCCACTACCGCACTCACGACGACGACGACGTCGACTACGACGACGACGACGACTACTACTGCTACTACCACCACCACCACCACCACTACTACCACTGGCACTACGACTACGACTACGGCTACGACTACGACTTCCACTACCACTACCACTAGCACTAGCACTAGCACCAGCACCAGCACCAGCACTAGCACTAGCACTAGCACTGCCACTGCCACTACCACT